GATTCGATTAAAGGAATTGCATTAAATCACCAACCGCTCGTCGTTTGCCGACACAGACACAAACGAATAAAAAGTCGGTTCACTCTATGTCGGAAACGCGAATTTTTATAATGCTTGCGGTTAGGATTAGAACTCCGAATGAAATAGTTATTTATTATACAAGGGAAAAAAGTACTAGAAAGCTAATATGTGTATAAAACACAATTTTTTTCTGTGACGGGAAAAACGACGATTTGATTTTGAAAAATTTTATTACAATATTTAAGTTTAATGTCGGATTCCGAGTTTTCTTTGACTCCACCGGAATTAGAAGTAACCAAAGTAGCGTCGCAAAAATTACTGCCAGCTATATCGTTTATGCAATATCCGGGAAAAAAGTAATCATTTCATAAAAAGTGACATTTTGTTGCCTGACAACAGATATAAAATGTCAAACTTTTCCCCGTTATAGAAAAAACAGTCTTAAAGGTTATTCCACCTTAAACAAGAATAAACCTTAACCCTTAACCACTAACGTGGTAAATAGCTGTTAATTTAATTTTGTGATTTGATTTAAAAATTGTGAACTTAGTGGTTGTTTAGAAGTTATTTTTAATACTATAAAGTAAAAAAATGTCTGATTCCGAGTTTTCTTTGACTCCACCGGAATTAAAAGTAACCATAGTAGCGTCGCAGAAATTATTTCCAGCTATATCGTTTATACAATATCCGGGAAAAAAGTACTCATTTCATAAAAAGTGACATTTTGTTGCCTGACAACAGATATAAAATGTCAAACTTTTTCCCGTCATAGAAAAAAAAGTCTTAAAGGTTATTCCATCTTAACACAAGAATAAACCTTAACCCTTAACCAGTAACGTGCAATTTTTGTAGCGCTACAACTAACGAGACGTCTCTCAGACGCTGCACAATATATCATTATCTTAATTTTATTATTTTTTTTCCTATAAAATGCTTAGATAGTAGGTAAGAATGGTTTTTATTGATACTTATTATATACTAAGTGACGCCGCCGTAGAACAACAGACCGTGAAGATCGCCGCCTTAGATTATTGGCCTTAAGGGACCGTTTCTCCACTACCAGGTCCATTGCAAATGAATGGTTTGCAGAACACGGAAGACCTATTGGCATGCCAAGTGTTTACCGACGAATGAGAAGTTTTGGCTTGTTTTCATACCGGCTACTCTGGGTCCTCCCTTTAACTCGAGAACACCGACGTAATCGCCTTGAGTGGTGCAGACAACGGTCACTCTGGGATCAGGAATGGAACAGTATTGTCTTTAGTGACGAGTCTCGATTTTGTTTAGGCATGCACGATGGTCGTGCCAGGGTTAGAAGGCGACGTGGTGAAAGGAGGAATCCACAGTTTTTTGGTGAAAGACATGTTCATCACACTGTTGGAGTTATGGTTTGGGGTGCTATAGCTTATGGTTCCAGGTCACCTTTAATCTTCATCAGAGGTAATATGAACGCGCAGCGTTATATCCACGAAGTTCTAGAACCCCATCTTTTACCCTATCTTGACACCCTGGCAGATCCAACTTTCCAACAAGATAATGCCCGACCACATGTTGCAAGAGTCACAATAGACTTCTTTCAACATAATGATGTCACATTGTTACCATGGCCACCAAGATCTCCCGACTTATCTCCAATTGAGCACGTGTGGGATATGATGGGTAGGAGATTGCTCAATTTGCAACGTCCTCCTCAGACTCTAGAAGCACTTCGAGAGGAGTTGGTGGTTGCCTGGAATGAGATACCACAGGAGGACATTGACCACCTGATCAGAAGCGTGCCTAGGCGCGTTGGAGAATGCGTAGCACATCAGTGTGCATCCACACATTATTAAAGGTCAAAGGGCTTTAAAGCAGTGCAATCATTTTGAAATTTTTATCATTTACTTATTATGCTTCATTAAGTACTTATACAAAATTTTATTAAAACAAAACCATTTAAACTGGGTATTCGGATTTATATGTTACTTAGTATATTTTCTACAAAATGCAAATAGGTTCTAAAAATGCAATTCTAGAGTCCTAGGCAAGAATGCCAAAGCATGGGTTTTATACACACATTTCCTTCTTTTTTCTTGCCTCTTCCCCTCTTTCTTCCTTTTTTTACTTTCTTTCCGACTTTGTCTGGTATCTAGTTAACAAGGCCTGACAGACTTTTTCCTTTACATGATTTTAACCAAGAGCAAAGCTGCTATGAGCGTTTCTGAAAGGCTATGACGAATAAAAGAGGAAACTTCCACCACGGCATGCTATAAAGTGTTTTTACCCCCTACGCCACTGGCGAGGAAATGTTGCAGTCGCGAAAAATTTCGAAAGGTATTATGTTCCAAGTTATCTCGAATTATGAACACATTATACATCGGACTTAAATTATTTAATTTTCCCGTTGTTAAAATGATTAGGATCCTCTGAAACGTCAAAACAGTTTGACCGAATTTTATTTTTTTCGTGTTTTTGCCCCCAACTCCGCCGCTACTGGACCAATTTTCAAAAACTGCAAAGCTTTTTCATCCTTGGCACAGTAGTGACCTTGTGTGAAATTTTCATCAAGATCATGGCAAACGAAAGGTAAGCGTAGATACGACTCCTAGTCTACTAGACTTATATCGCACTGATGAGTCGCTAACGAGTAAGGAACAGCGCTACCTGAGGTTAGTCGTGGTTACAGAAACGGAAATCAAACATGTCCATTTCAATAGAATTTTTTTTCTAATTGAGACTCAGTCGATTTGTGGTGATCAACAAGTATGGGGTTGTCCAAAACGGATGCAGGAAAGTAAACGCATATTAAAACAAGAAAGATTGATATTCAAATCAAGTTGGGTACTTTATTTTGAAGGTTCATTTATACCATTTATGTATGAAAAATAATATCGCTCAAATGTTCACCACGACTGGATTTACAGACGTCCACGCGATGGTCGAAATTTTCAATGACATTTTGCAACATGGTCGGTTCTATGGCATTTATCTCGGCAATGATGTTGTTTTTGAGTTCTTGAAGGGCGGCTGGTTTGTTGACGTAGACTTTGCTTTTCAAATATCCCCATAAAAAGAAGTCCAAGGGAGTCAAATCGCACGATGTGGTGGCCATGGCACATTTCCTCTGCGCGAAATCACGCTATCACCGAAGAAGGACTGCAATCGATGGATATTGACGTTGGTTGTGTGGCATGTTGCACCGTCTTGTTGGAAATAAACATCGTCCATATCCATTCCTTCAAGTTGCGGCAAAAATAGTCCTCTATCATCACGTGATATCGCTCAGAATTGACGGTAACGGCGTCCCCGGCCGCATTTTCGAAAAAGTAAGGTCCGATGATGCCTTTTGTCCACAATGCACCCCACACAGTCACTTTTTGAGGATGCATCGGCTGCTCTTGATACTCACGAGGATTTTCCTTCGCCCAGATGCGGCAGTTTTGCTTGGTTACCGTCCCATTCTAAGTGAAATGCGCTTCGTTGCTGAACATGATTTTTGATGAAAAATTGGCATCAATTTGAGAACGTTCGGCACGAAAAATGGTCGACCCGACGCAGCTCTTGCGTCAATTGGATCTTGTAGGCGTGTACATTCAAATCCTTGTGGAGAATGCGGAGCAAACTGGTTCTCGAAATGCCCCTCTTGGGATCGACGCGTTGTTGATTGTTTCGGATCGTCTCTCACACTCTCCTTCACAACAGCAATGTTTTCCGGTGTGCGAACGCTCCTTGGCCGGCCAGAGCCTGGCAGATTTGCCACAGAACCTGTTGCCTCGAATTTACGCACCAGACGACCGATGGTTGTTTCGTTTGGGCGATTGTTGCGACCGAAATGTTCACGAAGCGCGCGAAACGTGTTTTTTTATTTTTGCACCATTTTTGTAGTGCTCTTGAATAACTTTAATGCGGTCTTCAATCGAATACGACTCCATAGCGATCAATGGTAAATATTCAACTAACAAAACGACATGTCGGTGACAGAAAACAAAGATGGCGTCTATGTCAAATTACGTTTACTTTCCTGCGTCCCTATTGGACAACCCTGTATAACGTGTGCAAGCAGCTTGTGGTGGGGGTAGGAAGTAATTAAGCGGCAATCAACCGGATTTATAGGGAAGTAGAGTGGGGGGTATCCGGTGGCATATCCGTCACGGCGAAACGATGGTAGAAGGTAATTAAATCTAACTGTTTGGATAGGAGGACAAGCAAATTATCAGCTTCGCTCCACTTGAGCAGCTTCATACGAAGGTAATTGTTTGAGTTGACGGCAAACGGTGACAGGTTTATACACCTACATAGTTTGCTCGGGTGGAGAGTGCTTCATCCAGGCAGGAGTGTTTTGAATATTTTGTTGAGATTATCATCGCCACACATTATAAAATAAAGCTCCATGAAATTTTTGTGAATTCGCTAGCCATTTGAAGGTCATGTCAAGAGTATTTTCAATAAAAGCCAAGCAATCAAGTCTAACCACATTCCATTTAGGTTCTTCTGGTCCCTGAGAGCATTGGAACGCCATTTCAGGGTCACTTCAAGGACAATTTCAAAATAATCGCAGCACACGAGTCCAGATGTGGCATTTAGATTTAGCGATCCTTGAGTCCAAGTCAGGCCCCTGGTTACTGTCCTCGCACGGTGGTACCGTGGTTTGTGCCACCAGACGGGGTATCAAGCAGCTTGAAATAACAAGGAAACAGGTAGAATTAAATTTGCCTCTAATAGTGGACAATGAAAGTCGGTTGACACCTGCTGCAGAAGATAAGGTTTTTTCGTACACTGGTCGGGGACTGTGAATGGGATACGGCCGTGTGAATTCCGCTAATATAGCTTCAGAGTGAATGGAATCTTGGACACGATCACTGACAGGTTGGCTATTACTGTATTTACATGACTTCATTAGAAATTTTTCATATCTTTCATGTTGTCGTTTACTACCCATCATCTCATCGTTATTCGAGAGTCGCGATCACGTCGCGCTTTTAAATCACTGATATCAGATATCATAGACATTCAAAAATAACGATATCGGCCATCTCTACTTGACATACCTTAGAGTACATAAGACTAAGCGGCAAACTCATCGCGATGGATAGCAGCCATACGAAGACGATTTTGAGGATGACTCTTCTTCGCGATTTGTTCCTCCCGAATTTCATGGGGTACCTCAGGGAGAGGTACCGGTCCACGCTGATGGTGCACAGATGCATGATGGAGGCGGTGCAGAAGAGGACGTCCAAGCAGATCCACGCCAGGCAGTAGATCGACGGTAGGGCGAAGTGACCTGGAAGAAAATGAGTTGTTGAAAGTACTTTGTATTAAATCATAGGAAAATTTATGATTGATCAAATTTTTCGGTTTTAATACACGGATGTTACGTCACTGAAAAAGTCATTGATAGATGGTTGAATTTTTAACAGGCTTTTATAGAAGCTTGGCCTGTATGGATATATGCATGTATGTAAAGGAATCTTTCAGCATAATCTTTTATAAATCCTCTGTAGGGGAGTAAGAGAGATAGAGCTAGTGCGCGATCTGCGCGTGCGTGCAGCTTTGGACTTACTCTTTGTTGGTTCGGGCACTCGGTACAACACAACAGAGGCAGATACTTTTTCAAGATAGTGCATTCTCACCTTGTTCATTCCTTATACATGCGTAGGTACTAAGGAGTCTAATACACACGATTACTGTTTATAATATCCATATAATATATTATAAGACAACCTTGATTCACAAAAAAAGGCGTCTTATTCACAACAAAATGATCAGAACATAAATTTCAATCTATATATTTTGCGGAACAAAATTTGGCAAACAACAAAGCTTTGAATCAACAGTCGATAAAGAAGGAATTTAATACGATCAAAGAATTTGTAATTATAAAGTCTTATTGATCAAAATACAAACCAAACGAATATGTATAAAAAACCTAATTGATAAATCGAACTAAAAAATGAAAAATAAATAATAGTACAAAATATTTTCAGCAAACCGATCGCCTACCTGCGCCACGGAGTTGTAAATATTGCATCTTTGTTAGTGGATCCGAGGGTCTTAAAAAAGCAGGTAGCAGATGGCGGTGACGCGATATGCACATAGCACATACGAGGTGTGCGCAGTATTTATACACCACTCAAAAAGAATTAAAATCCAAATTTTTCTGCGATTTTTGACAGGGTGTATTTCAGTGAAATATGGTCGTAATTAGACTTTAAAAAAAGCATCTTGGAGCTTAAAGATTCCAATTTTCAGGTTTTTTTAGCCGAAAAATTCTAGGAGTAACGTATCTCATGCAGTTCTAATGGCGCGAGAAACATTTTTTTGCTTAAAAAAATACTTCAAAGATAATCAAATTTTATATAAATATATATCTGTGGGATGACTGGTTACGGAGATATCAGTGGTCTATGACATAAGGATCCTATTTAATTCAGTTTCAGATATTTCAGTGCCAAATGATCGTAACGAGATTATAAAAAACAGAAGGAAATGTTTCCAAGCCTGTGGACCAAAAAGAAGGCAAAACCTGAAAACTAGAATCTTAAAACTTCAAAATGCTAGATACGACCATTTTTCAGCAAAGCACTGCCTTCTGGATTCTTTTCTTGCTCAAACGGTTTTGCACCAGAGTTTCAAAGAAATGAGACTACCGTGTAGTTCCTGTTGTTGAATACCCCAATAGTCAACATGTTTGAAAACGACCTTCAATGTTAAAAAACATTTGTACCTTACTCCCTTTGCATTTACTGGTGCAAACCAAATGGGTGTTTGTTGTAATAATTAATTTTATTTTGACAGTCTGACACCAGATAACTAGATATTTCAAAGCATTTCTAAAATTTTTGGAAACGTCATTATGGTGTAAAATCGAATATTTTGTGATACAGGGTGTTTCCTAATTGAACTTCAATATTTAAATGGACGATTTTTGGGTCTATTTTAGGAAGAAAACTTAATATGAACGTATGCCTTAAACGTCTCTCTTTTTGAGATACAGGCTGGAGAAGTATTCAATATAGAACGTCTCGCCTCTTAATTTTTTTGATTTCCGAAAAAATTGAAATTGTACTTATCAATGATCATATTTGATCTCTCGAATTTTTCCAGTACGACGCACTGTTTTCAGCTAAAAAAACAAAAGATGTTATCTGCATGGTGATATTGTCTTATTAACGATATTTTTATTTATTTTAAACGAAATGAAAACATCAAGCGATGTGAAGGTGAAATACAGAACGAAAGTCACTGCTGGAAATTAAAAAAAAATGTGGTACATTAAAAAATGCCTCCTGATACGTATACATCAAAATATCTAACGTGGTATTTACAGATAATTGATTTATGTTTGATAACTTTACCATCCTATGTCTCAAAAGTTAAGAAATTTAGGACATACGTTCATATGAAGCTTTCCTCTTAAAATAGACCTAAAAATCGCCCTTCAACTATTGACATACAATCAGGAAAGTGCTCGCACAACAATGGCCCACTTTTCACACTAGGTATATATATATATATATATATATATATATACAGGGTGACTTCGAAGTTGAGTCATTTATTTTAACAGTGAGTAGATCTGATCAAAAGAAATGTTTTTTCCTTTACCATTTTTCTGGTAAAATTAAAGTAACAAAGTTATAGCCCTTTGGAAGTTTGAGTACCGCCCTGTCTCAATAATAATATTATGTGCTCGTGTTTGGCGACAACGGATATAATCCGCCTTATCGGTTCATCGCATCGGAAACAAAAAAGCGAAAGAATTTGGAACGATGTTTTTACAATTATTTTATTCATTTGAATACAGTCAGTGTCAGTCGGTAACGCGTCAGTGAATAGTGGTGTCTGTTGCGTGGCTCAAACGAAATAAAAAATGGCACATGTTTATGCGGATCGGTTTCCCAATCGAGTGCAACCAACCCCTCGTGCCTTTGTTAATGTAGTACAACGGGCTCGTCAATCAGGTGACGGCATGCCGGTGCTCCAAGACCTCACGATCAAATACAGGTCCGCACTGAAATACTTGTCGGGAGGATACTTTATAAAACAAGGTAACATTTTTTTTTTAATTTTTTTTTATTTTTACACATATATTTTGGTTTATCTTCCTTCTACAATCATTATCTGAAAATTAATGACTCAACTTCAAAGTCACCCTGTATATATATCTTGAGACGTGGTCATTGTCGTCTAGACCAGATAGGTGAAAAATAAAGCTTCCGCCTTTAGCTGGGTACTTTGACAAAATTCAAGCAATGGCTCTTTATACTTTATTAGTCTCTAGCTTTCAATAGACTTTGCCATCATCATCAGGAGCTGCAATAACATTAAAGACGAATTGGCAACTATTGTGCAAAATGATTTTAAATTACTTACAATAGTATGTGACGTTGTTGCTAAATGTTATTAAAGGTTAAGTTGAGGGAAACGTTTAGTAACATGGTGAAAGCTGGATACATGGTACATTCGTTAAAATTAGTATAAAATACACACAGCTGTATGTCAGGAACACATCAAAATGGATTCAAAAAAATATTTGGAACGAAAGTTAAAATTATTACATGTTACATCGTGAAACAACCTGATGCTGCACAATCCGTCCTCACTATAAACTGCTTGCAAATCCATACTTACTATAAACTGTATTTTTTCAAAGATGAAAGACAGAGTCCCGTTGCTTGGTTTAACCAACACAGTTTACTCCATCAGGTGTAATAATTGTAACCAAATATACATAGGTCAGACTTCTAGATCTCTAAAAGGAAGGATTACATCACACAAAAGTGCTTCATAGCTTGGCATCTCATGTCAATACAACTGGGCACTCTATGAACTACACAAGTATCACAGTTCTTGATAAATAAAAACACCTATCCAAACATTTATTCCTGGAAATGTCCCACATTTTCATGAATAACAACTGTATGAATAAGAAGACAGATGTTAAGCAACTGAGCGTCATTTACTCATATTTGTTAAACTGCGAAAAGTTGGAGCATTTGCACATCTCTCCAAATTTTGATTTTTCACAACCATAAATGGAATCTGGTTTTTTGGTCTATTCCACCCTTTTCCTCCAAAATTCCATTCCATTCAAATTTGAATAGTTGTTTTTTTCTCATAATAAAATAATTGTTTAATTCAATTGTCCATCTCATTAACAATATAGTTTGTTCAACTGCCTTTGGTCTGGTGACAAGTTTTTATTTAACATACCTTGAAACACCATCTGAAGTGATTTGGCAACATAGCAAACATTTTTACAAATTTATTTCCATCCATCGACACTGACACTACCAGCCGTCTGTCATCTGTCAAATGTTTCATCCTTCTTATGATCCTGTGCCACACCATTTTGTGCAGCATCAGGTTGTTTCACGATGTAACATGTAATAATTTTAACTTTCGTTCCAAATATGTTTAATCCGTTTTGATGTCTTCCTGACATACAGCTGTGTATTTTATACTAATTTTAACGAATGTACCATGGATCCAGCTTTCACCAGGTTACTAAATGTTTCCCTTTAATAACACTTAGCAACAATCTCACATACTATTGTAAGTAATTTAAAACCATTTTGCACAATAGTTGCTATTTCTTCTTAATCTTATTGCAGCTCCTGATGATGATGGCAAAGTCCGATGAAAGCTAGAGACTATTAAAGTATAAAGAGTCCTCATTGCTTGAATTTTGTCGAAGTACCCAACTAAAGGCGGGAGCTTTTTTTCATATATATTATTATCTTTATTTAGCAGCATTAACAGAGCATCATGTAAAAAAATCACGTTAGACCGAACCGATCGACGATACAATATATTTACGAAATGGAGTTGTAGGGGAGGAAAATGTGATTTTGCCAGCATCCGGTTACCGAGGAGGAAGAGGTTATTAAAAGGAAGCGCACCGACGTGGAAAGGCAAGAGTAAAAGCCCAATCCGGTCCCGAGAAGCCTCTACACTCTCCACGACCTACTTTTTTCTTTATTGCATTTACACTCATCGTGTTACCGGAGAAACTGTTACGATACAATCAGGTCGCCCAGAGTGTTTCATCTAGCTGATAATTAAAACCTCTCGGGTTTCTGATATGTCAAAGGATTTCGCCGTTCTGAAAACGCCCCCGCGACGACGCCGTATTTGTGTGCTTTTCAGAAAGGTTCCTCCAACGTATATTGTTTTTAACATAAATCACATAGAAAATGCAACACCG